TGTATCCATTAATATAACTTTATCATCAGAAATCAATCGAAATGTCTGGTCAGCAAGCTTTAATTTTGGTCAGCAAATTATATTTCCTCCACTTTTGGACTCGCCTGGCATCCTCTTCTGCTCATCAAAATCGCCTCTCAATTCTTTTCTTCAATCTACAATATCTAGATAACATCATGATAAAATTACAAGTTTACAGCGCCAAGTTTTTTTTTATTATTTTCACATTTTAAAAAATATGGGAGATGGTGACGTGCAAGGGTGAGGCCTGCCAGGTCATGGTTTTCTCACTTAACACCCATTGATCCATCACTATACAAATTTCTAGCCTTACAGACAAACCGACTACGTGCACGTGCGAATACCATTTGATTCGACTAATTGAAAAATGTGTCAAACAGGTACTCAATGAATTAATGTGTATTTTGTGAGTGGTATTTGGGAGATTTCCCATTTTCGAGTGTATCATCGTAACTACACGAAGGAGAGAGATACCTTCTATCATTTATTAATGAAATAATTCGAAAGTTCATCTAATTTTTTATTCAAATAATTTAAACCGTATAATCTCTAGAACTCTAGATACATATTATACTATACTTCAAGGCACCATAATCGAATGAATAGTTGATGAAATTGCAGCTAGACATTCTTCCATGAAAGTTGAAACTATAACTCTATCTCCAGACAAACCCATAAGTACATGTTTGATTATTCATGGATCATTTTTGATAAAAATGTTAGAGTGGTTCGAGTGAGTTTACAACATAACCTAATCTAACGACCTTATACCTAAAAACCAATCCCTACAAAAACGTGGGATGATTTGACCGAAAATCTTATCATAATATTTACATTTTGTACAAAATCATTCATTCAGGTTATATCAAATCATTATATTTTAGTGAAGTATCATCAGCTTTTCCTCTTGAACTTTGAATACATCCTATCCACGTATAGTATAGGGCATTTCGGATATAATTCCTTCTTTGATCAAATTTCGAAATCTTCAAAAAAAAAACTGATGGAATATGAAATTTACTTCCAATCTTCATAATGTTCAAAACCTATTTGAAAACAAATAAACAATTGAATATATTTGTCTCCTTGGAATAATGTATTATTGTTACGTATATGTAGATACTGTCGGCTCGAATATATTCACTATTCGGACCAACGAACTTCGGTCACATGTTCAAGGTGGCCAACTAAGAATCCAGAGTTCGATATCTCTGTTGTCTTGAGAGATACAAAAAAAAAGTTTTGCATTCAAATTAAAGTGATAACCGAGCTTCACATTTCAAAATTTCTTTGAAATACACAGGGTGTTCCGTAAGGTCACAGCACATCAAAGCTATGTTTTTTTCATTGGAACACCCTATATTTTATTTCATACTTGAATTCTCCCTGAAGATCTGATTTCAACGATGTATCATACTTAGGGTCTAGCAGTGAAAGTTACTGACATATAGCGTGAGCAAAATCGAGATTTTCCAAGTTCAGGATTTTTTTCTGTCGAAACTGTTCATTATTCGTCAGAACGGTTTATCAATTGGTGTTCAATTGACATTTAATTGAAACAAATTATAAATTTAGATTTTTGACCACCTTGTATCAATTTCAATTGAACACCAATTGATAGTGAGTGAAAAGTTGAGATAGGGACATGTAAACCGTTTTGACGAATAATGAACAGTTTCGACAGAAAAAAATCCTGAACTTGGAAAATCTCGATTTTGCACACCCTATATGTCCGTAACTTTCACTGCTAGACCCTAAGTATGATGGGTCGTTGAAATCAGATCTTCAGAGAGAATTCAGAAATGAAATAAAATTTAGGGTGTTCCGATGAAAAAAACATAGCTTTGATGTGCTGTGACCTTACGGAACACCCTGTGTATATCAAAGAAATTTTGAAATTGAAGCTCGGTTATTACTTCAATTTTGATTCATGAATTTGTTTTGTATATCTCAAGACAACAGAGAAATCGAACTCTGGAGTCTTAGTTGGCCACCCTGTACATGTACAAATTTCAATACTCGATCTATCAGAAGAATATACACATATTTGTTTGAATATCGCTACTTGGGAACCAACTCCCCATATGCCGAAATTTATGCGGGGATAGGAATAGCGGGACCTACAGATTATAGTGGAATGCGAACCACTTCAAGGAGGCCGAGGTATGGCCAGAATTATAACCAAGAATCACACATTTTCAAGAAAAATCCTCAGCCGATAGCCAGATTCAAACCGACAGTACCGTGGCATCCTGAACGGTTTATAGGTGATGAAGAATAACAGTTTATTGATTAATTGAGTACCTATTCCCTTTCAGAATTTTTGGGTTCAAATTCTGATGCTATTGGTGGAATGGAAAATATAATGTATGTATTTTCCGGAAAATTTTGCGGGAAAAGGTGGTGAATTTCATCTGATCAATAAATGAACATAAACAGAGTGTTTGATCGAAAACCGCCGTTAGGCATTCTCAGTAGGTACTGGAGTACTGCAACATAATTTGTTGCTAAAACTTGAGAGATTCAACAAGTAATTTCGAAATAATTTCTTGAAATTTTTCAATTTTTCATTTGGTCCTGACCCGAAATATTTGTGTTTTTTCTTAATTCTGAGTTGACAGCAAATACTGATGTGAAATTTTCATGGAACAACACAAAAATATTAATATTTCTCTAATAATAGTTTTATTCATTTGTTATTTTATTTTCGTTTGACAGTCGATTGTAATCTCATTGTAATTGATGGCATTTGGAAGAGTGAGGCTGCTTTCACATGCATCCGTTTTCACGGATCTACGTTTGCGTGATTTACGAACACAAGTTTGGGTCCCTACCGGATGGAATGGTTCCGTGAGCTCCATCGTTATCCCTGTTTTGCGCAAAAATCTCTATAAATAAAACAATATGGGGGCAGAAAATAATGAAGAGAAAATTCGAAAATTTGTATATACGATTTATTATGGAGAGATACAGAATGTTAAAAGAAAAATCGTAGATTTTGGACCTATCTTCACAGACAATTCCCGAAGATTTCATGACGCAAGTGAATATTTGGCTAGAGGAATAGAGGAAAACGGTAATGAAAACTTTTTGAATTATTTTAGAATGTCGCCTGATCTGTTTTATCTATTGCTCGGACTCTTGGCGACTAAACTTGAAAAGCAACCAAGAACCAGATTAGAAATTACGCTTCGTTTTTTGGCATCTGGTGACAGTATGACTTCTATCTCATTTCATTTTCGTGTTGGGATTTCTAGAGTTTCAGAAATTATTCATGAAACATGCCTTTTGCATGCAAGGTCATGGGTTCGATTCCCAGCACGGGCAAGGAACTTTTTTTCAATATTTTATTCACGAATTAAATATTGTAAAGTTTCGGAGCATCGGCTGGGGATGGTCCTGCACGATTCGCTGTTGCGTTCCAATTAACAGTGCTGCTCCTAAAGTGGCGCATGGAGTTAGTAACAAAGCCTACACAGAACACGCAGAAAGATATGATGATGTGGTTGTGAGCATCAGAGAAGAAGTAGGACGGTGTATGTAGGTGGGTGTGGAAAACTACCAGCTGAGCGTGAGAGCGGGCCAGCTGCTTAAGTAGACCTCGATCTCGGGGGTTAACGAGGATAGTTAGCAGGCCTGCCACTGCGCATATGGTAGTGAGTACATTACTAGCCTACAAAACACAGCTGAAAAACTCTGAAAAGAGAGCTGATGGGCGGTGCCTGAAAAGGATGTTAGCCAGCTCTCTTGAGCGAACCACATCAGTCATTGAAAACACTTGGCGTTTGCAAAAAGGTCCCATTGGGGACTAGTTGCTGACGTGGAAACGTCCCCCACCAGTACCAGTACCAGTGCCTTTTGCATATTTACTTAACCTAGCTTTCTTCTCCTCACGGACAAATTGAACGGAGGAAACTCAATGTTGAGCCAACTGGGTACGTTCAGGGCCTACTCTATCCTGGTACGTTGCGATTGCCGACTCATCCGTGTCGATTTCTATTGGTCAATATTCATCACATGATTCAACGGATCCGTGAAAACGGATGCATGTGAAAGCAGCCTGATTGTAGCCCGAATAAAAGGGTTCCGCCGATTTCATAGGGACAGTTTAGCTATTTTCTAAACGATAAGGAATTGAAAGTTGATCAAATCAGACGAAAGTTGCGTAATTTGCCTACCACATTTGAAGATGATTCGAAAACGTTTCTACTGTTTTTTGGCGATGTTTGACTTGAAAATGTCAACATGTTATACATACCTGTGAAGGGAGTTTCAAGCCCTATTCAATGGTGAAAAAAACAAATATGGCGCCCACAAGAGGAACAAAAGTTGCATAGTGACTTTCATGAAAAAATTGAAGCAAGGAGAATTTTTTATAAATAGTTCTGCAAGGTCGAAAACCAAGAATGCAAACATCAGATATCTTTTTTTTTTCAGTCATATGTCAAATAATCTTAAAGAATTTGTAAAAAATTATAAAATCAGACTTTCATCGTGGACATCAAATGTTATTGGATATTTGAACGAAGTTCTCAATTCTAGTAGAGAATAAAGGCACCTACTTCACTCTTGAGCAAAATTATGGTTCATTTCTTGCACATATATAGGCATAGTTGGCTCAGCATTGGCCTTCATAAAGATTGAGAAAACAAAGTTGTTGTATTTTCCGGCAACAACAAAGTCAATGAAACTATGAAGGCCCAATACCCATTTGCTCCACTGGCAAAGTGACTACAGGAATGTAAAAGGCCAACAACAGATGTTTGCCGTTGCAGTCATTTCCCCAGCAAAGAAAGCATTGGGCCAATAACTTCCTGGTAGTTGTTGGGAGGTTATATACCCCCCTTATGTTATTCTTTTGCGCTCTAGTGAATCCTAATATCCCCGCTTGGGCTCCCCTACTACAGTAATCCGATGGAATGATGCTGAATAATACAGTTCTTTGTCACGTTTTGTTAAAATAAAAAGACCTATTGAAATTACGTAATGGACAGTTTTCTTTTGAGTAGGACGAACGCTACTATCCGAAATAGCACGATGACACACACGAGGTAAGTGACGTCTGTCCAATAACTCGGTTTGTCCATTCCAATGTCTTTGAGCAGTACTGCTGGAGAAACGTACTGGCAGAATTCGGCTTCTTCGGGACAGTGCAATGGTGGCCTGTCGTACCCATAGAGAGCTTGCATACTACCTGTGAAACAAGGAGAATTATCACGTTACCACTAGTTATTAAACTGAATTTGGGGATTATGAAAGATGGAATACCCTCAGTGGCGGATTATAGGGGAGGCGCGAGCCTCGTATTTCTCGTGGCGAGGAAACGCCAAACCAAGCGCAGTTCTTCAGTTCAATTTCAAGAGAGCTATGCCCCCGCCCCCCCCACCCTGACTTTCTACAAAAATATTATTCCACTCACATTTTTCCACATTACATACATCAGTATTGTAACAGTACTTGAAATTGTAAAAAATTCACTTATATTATTTCAAAATACATAAAATATACCTAGATATATGGGAGCCATTTTTCGAAATTGTGAAAATTATGATAGGCTGATGAATAAAGTGTTTCCTGCTTTGAGTGGTGGTTGTTGATTCGGATACGACAAAAAAATTTAAGTGAATCAGGGAATTTCTGAATTATTTTGGTAAATTGAACAAATGAGTCAGTATCCCTTACTCCCAACACATATTGAAATTCGAAATGAGCTCTTTGTTTCGTTTGTGAACTTTTTTGTCCCTTGTGATTTTAACGCGTCTGCGGTGATCTGCGAAAGTTATCGAGAAAAAAACAAGACTTTTTGTAATAAGCTAGATACAATCAATATTTTTAACAGAAAGGAGGAACCAATCATCAAATATTAACCCATTAGTGCATAATGTGTCTTATAATGGACGCTCCTTGTCTAATTTTTTGTGACGTCAATCATGCAGGAATTGAATGTTTCATGCGCCAGAACTATAAGTGTAGTTCAACAACAAACAGCTATCGCTTCCATTTCATGAATTTGTATCTTGACAATATTCTGCACGTGATCAAATGGATAACAATTTGTATTGCACCCGACAAGGAGGGTAAGTATTTATTATAACGGAGTCTAATGAATTTCAGAATTTCCTATCCCTCAAAATCTCATTATATGCATGTGTTTATGAACCTATAAGGTAATTCGAATTATTATTTTTTTTGTAAGACACTCAAAATATTGCTTTTGTGTTGTGTCCATTATAATGGACTCTATGCATATCGGTCATCAAGATTTTTTTGTAGATCATTCTTGCAACACCTCTTAGACATATGGAAAATGGCTCAGATATCGATCAACCAACAGATAATTATATATTATTTTGCCTCCAGAAGAGAAGTTGGCAGAAATGCAGTTATTCGAATTTAGAAACTGCGAATCCATAATAAATCATATTTCTAAAGGAATTATCAAACAGCCGTGCGACTTCCGTTATTCTGATCCTGATTTTGATGAAATTGGAAATAATATACATCTTTGCCTTATGAAAAGGAATATTATAGCATCAAATGATTGTACGTTATACTGCAGCACGTCAACTATAGACACGACTCCATCCACTCGTTCGACTCCTCTTTTTCTTCAACGGGTTCACATTTCCTTTCACTGGATCGTGTGAGGAGCACCGAAAAAAGGTCTGGAAGTATCATCCCAAATAATTTCTTGATATGATGCATTTCCATATACCCATCAGCTGAATTCCATTCAGTAGAGTATACAAAATTGCAATTTTATATGTAAAATAGGACTGCATCTGAGAGATGCTTCAAAATGTATCAAGTCATCATGATGTATAATTTTCATTATTATCATTATTATTATTATTGATAATATTGTGATCATGTTATTGAGTTTTTGATGTTCTGGATATGTACTTGAATAAAAATGAATACTGAAATTCCCTACTGATCACTTTCATCAATGAACCAATTTGCATAGAGTCCATTAAAATGGACGTGTCATATAAAAAAAATCTGTTGTAAAAAAAAATCATTCGTCATGAGTCATCATTCTTTGGGTGTATTTGAATGAGTAAACATCTTCAGAAAATAGATATTTGAAAAAAAGTAACTTCATGCACTAATGGGTTAAAACAAAAACGCTAAATATTTAGTTCGTGCTGATTACAAGTTCACAAACATAACCTAAAGAATAAAGAATCGAACAAAACCTGACTTTTTACAACAGGAAGATTGCAATATTCTCAAAACATCAACGTTCTGTATATCGGTTTTGAGTTGACTCGGGCTTTACTTGATGGAAATACATATCAAATGTAGAAACTCCACAAACGATAAGATTTCGACAAATTCCTCATTCACACTATATTATATATATACTGGGTGAGTCGGGAGGGACGCACCAAATTGTATTGTACAGGTTTTTTTTTATCGCTTGGAGCACACGAAAGGAAATCCCTATGATGTTCAAAGAACATCGTGCGTTCTTAGGGAGGATAGGGACAGGAGGTAGGTATTGGAAATTTTTTTGAACTTCTGGAGATTATATATGTTGTTGAGAATACATCATCAGGCAATGAATTCCAGAGCCTAGACGTTCTATGGATGAAGGAGTTTTGATGAAGTGCTGTTCTACATCTTTCGAGGTTGACAACGAAAGGATGTGCTGACTGGGCTTGTCTAGTTCGTCTGACTAGTATTGCTAGTGAAGGGATGATAGCAGATATTTCCGAAGAACATTTCCCGTGGAAGTATCGATAGAAAAGTGGAATGTCGCCGACCTTTCTACGGTGTTCCAATGATGTCAAAGAGTGAGTGAGTGTGGCGTCACCCACCAGGCAAATGGCTGTTCTCTGGATGGAATCTAAGAGCATCATCGTACGTTTTGGTGCTGAACCTCATATGTGGGAACAGTATTCTAGAACAGGCCGTATCTGCGCTTTGTAGATCATGAGAAGCTGTTGAGGTGTGAAGTAGCTTATCGCACGGAACAAGAATCCGAGCAGTTGTGAATAAGCAGCTTTTGCAATGGTTCTGACATGATTATCCCATGGAAGAGTGTTGCTGATGGAAATACCGAGCATAGATATGGTGGGCTTGGTGGGGATGGTGGTGCCAGACATTACAATATCGGGATACTGAATTCCGCCTTTCTAGAGAAAATACAGGCTTGAGTTTTGGTGGCGTTGAATTCAACTAGGTTGTTGGTTCTCCAGGCTGTGATTTCAGCAAGGTCTTCATTGGGAAGAAATGGGAATTCTGGAAGAGAACGCAGTATGGAGGGTACTATCATCTGCAAAGCTGTGAATGGGGCAAGTTGTTACTCCCAACAGATCATTGATAATGTTGGTGCCAAAATTGATCCTTGTGGAACGCCGGAATTGCTGCCAATGGTATCAGACGATACACCGTCCACCACCACGTGAAGCGATCTGCCTGAAAGGGAACTCGATAAGAGATGGCATAGCTGAGGTGGTAAGCTGTATATGATGGTAGTTTGTGGAGGAGTCCTTCGTGCCAAACACGCTCGAATAATGCTTTCGATATGTTCAACGCGGCAGCTAGAGATTCCTCGTGTCTTTCTAATGAAGCTTGCCATAAATGGGTGACGTAGGCAAGTAGATCTCCAGTAGATCTTCGGTGGCGAAAGCCGTATTATTGTCTATCATTGATGATTCCTGAGCTCTTCAGATATCTGATAACCTCAATACTGATGGCTTTCTCCATCACTTTGGAGATTACTGATAACAAGCAAAATTCGTCTGATAGTGCGTTGACGGAAGACGATTTCGGGCATTCGACTCTCAACGGGTGGAATGTCTGGTATCAACTAATTTGAACAAACCCATATGATTCTCATTTGTTTTCATTCTAAATTTAAATAGATGTGTGTTGTTTTATGAGACTTTAATCGTACAAACACACGAACACATGTAAGAACAACAAAACAGATGAAACAATCGAGTTTGTACAATTAAAGTCTAATAAAATATCAAAAATCTATTCAAATTCAAAATGAAGATAAATCGAAATCGTATCAGGGTTTTTTCAAATTATTTTTGCGTGTATACAGAATAAAGACCTGGAGTTTGGTGCGTTCCTTTCGGCTCACCCTGTATATCGGTAACGAAGCATTTTCACCTGATCTTTTTAACCAAATTGATCAGTACATGACTCTAATAGCACGCAACGTGCTAGGGACGTCCCTATTTGGTAAAATTCGAGTCCAAATGTCCCGGACCTAAAATGATTGTTCTTGGGACGTCCCATCCCGTACATATCATGCAATGTCTGAGCAAGGACGTCCATGGAATGTCCTAGCTGATACATCATTTCAAATGTCATGATTTTTTTGTACGTTTCGGAATCATCTTGAATTAATTAATTATTATGAATTCCGAAGGAACTTCATATTATATCCATATTATGTTCTTTCAAGTAATGAATACAAGAATATTCTACAGGGAATATAATTTCATAGGATTCTATAAGTACAACGTCTCATGAACGTTCCAAAGAAGTCCTCAGAATGTCGATGGGACCTCTTGGAAACCTTCTTCATGGTCTATTGGGGACCTTCTACGAACCATCAACTCAACGGTATGTTCTCATCAGTTATGCAAGATCTGGTCCTAGGAAGACCCAAATAAATTGAAATTCAAGAATACTTCGTACGTCCCTGGGACATCCTCTGGAAATCAAATTGATATTCATCAACTTTGCTAATAGGTTGTCCTACGAATGTCCTCTATAATTGCTTGATGAGAGATAGTTGTACTAGGGACATTAGTTAAGGACATTCCTAATTGATCCTCAAGTGGGACATTTGTGCTTTCCACAGACGCCCAATGGACGTCCGCAGTACAAAATTTGAACGTTCTATGAACGTTTTGAATGTTCCGACGTAACGTCCTAGGGATGTGCATGGGACATCATTGTGCTATTAGGGAAGTATTTCTTCCATTACGAATATGCCACAGAAATTTGAGATTTAAAAGAATTTTGAAACAAAAATATATCGGTTTTCATACAATTCCACCAGCTGTTTGATCTTTTTCCAGTGCATCTGATTATTATTATTTGACGCATATGCACTGTCGTGAATTATGGAAGAAATTCATTTCCTAGTTGAATGCTGGCCATTTTCCATAGTTTTATTTCTTTAGTTCTTATATTATTGGTTATAGTTTGAAATTCTTTCGAGTTTTAGTTTTTGCTTGCATGAATGCACCTTAATTCAAGGTAACTTATTCCGAGCCATCGAACATGAAAAAGCGACATCAAAGCTTCTGGAAGTTGGGTTATCTGTGACGTAATAACGTAAATTACCAGATCTATAGGCGATTCAAAATATGCGATATGCCCTCTTCCGGATATTCAAGTAACTAATGAAAAGTACATTGATGGTTTGTTTACATTCAAGTTTCCATGCATTTTATCGAAAGTTCAGTGGTCATTGTGATATTTTTCGACTTTGTATTCATCAGTAGAGTATCTCGAATCATTATTGCTCCGTTTCACAAGTTATTCATGAAAGTTTTCTCACTACATTTTACAGAAATTGATAATTTCAAACAGTGTATAATCTAGAGAATTTCTCACAACTTCGATATAGAATCTAGTTGCCTTTCATTCCCAGAAGTAAAAAGTAACAGTATGAATTTTAAAAAATCAAATCCTCACACAGAAACAAAGCAAATAATTATGTTCAATTTCTCCTACTAGGTAGATCAACTATTCGCAGATACATATCCAGCTTTGAGGACTTTTTCTCTTTCCTGAAAGTAGATGAATTGACTACAATACATAGGTACATCTCAAATAGGTACCTACTTTGTGAACATCGTATTCACTTCACTCAATTCGCGATATTTATTTCCCAGGATATGAACGAACTACCGTAACCTCAAATTATCTCATTTTCATTTCGCGAATCTCATCATGTATTCGAAGTAGTGAAACATACTTTATTAAACGAATATATCTGCTGAAAAGCTCCCTCGAATCACAAGTGTACACAAATAAACAGCTTTTTTGCTTAAATCACTATCAAAAAATCGAAATAATACACACAAGCAAATGAACCATTTCAAAACAATGTATACTTCCATATAGTTCCACAACTCGTCACCTTGGCGCTGCGATCTTAAATTCAGTCGCCTATGAGTTCTCCGAACTTCAGGATCCAGATTTTCACCAGTAACATAACTACCAGCAAAATCATGGATCAATTTTGGTAATAATTGTTTCTCTATGTATACTCACCTTCAACTGTAAAAGCGATGAACGATAAATTTGTCACTGCATACATAAATTTTGACATATGTACCAGCAAAATGAAGAATCCTCCAAACAAGAAGAAACAGCATAGACAGATAACACCGACGAATGTACCATTCTGAAAAAATGAAAGAGTTATTTCGACAAAATAATACAGTGTTACCATCATTATTACTGAAGGGTTCAACGAAGGATTATAGGGCTAGTTCGCGGGCGTGGCCAGAGAGGGACAGGGTGGGGCAGCTACCTCCCCCCCCCCCTAGAGGTTAACGCTCACCAGTCACTCTGCTAATTTCTTTTACATCAACATCAACATAGCGTTCACAAACATATAAGTAGTTACAAAAATTAACACCTGAGAAGAGTCGTGTGTGTCAAGCAGGATGAAAAGGAATATATAGTTATTTCTCTGTAATTTGCTATTATTTCATATCACAAATACAATATTGGCGGTTATCTACATTATTTGACTACTTATATCAATGAAAGTGATAAATCAATAAACATAATGCGCACCTATTTTATTAAAGAAGGATATAGAGGATGTGTAGTATTTATATTAAATAAGTTATCAAGTATCCATAATTGTTCACTATATATTTTTTTACGTACATTTTGAATTCGTGTTTATCTAAAGTTTTCATGCTTAATAAATTACTGATTTTTTTCCTGCAGTTGTGTTTTGTTTTCCAACATCGACAACTTGTTTTGCACTACCTCTTGTTCCATATGCGTATGGTTTATCTTAGGAATGATTGATTTGCTATGAACAATATTTGAGTACTGAAAGCATATAGAGACCTTTCAAGTCTAACAAGTATTTTTTTGTAAATCGTGGTTAAGCACTGTCCCTACCCTAGTTTTGGGTGACTTGTATAGCGGCTTCAGAATGTTATCATATGCAGAGCCCCAGACACTTACTCCATATCTGAGAAGAGATACTACTAAACTGTTATAAACAATCAGAAGAACGTTTTCCCTCAAAATATTTCGTAGTACGTAAAATTTATATATTATTTTTCTGATTCGCTTAGTAATATATTCAGTGTGTACTTGCCATTTCAGAAATTGATCGATGAACACCCCTAGGTATTTAATTGATGATACATTATGAATCAAGCTTCTAGTTCCGTTGATTCCAATTGGTTGTAGATTATTTGGTGATCATTTTTTGTAAGAGAGAATGCCATGTATTTAGTTTTTGAATATTTTCAGTTTATTTTCATCCAACCATAACTTCATATCATTTATCGCAGTTTGCGCTTTCAGTCGAACTTCATTCCAATTTTCAGCATCACAGACAAGCACCGTATCATCAGCATAAGATATAACTAAGCCGTGCTCTTTGTAATTCAGAAGATTGTTTATAAATATCAGGAACAGTGTTGGGCCTAAGACTGTTCCCTGGGGAACGCCTGTTTGTATTTGTTGAGAAGTACTGAGAACATCGTCTATTTTGACTTGCTGGTTTCTATAAGCGAGATATTTCTCAAACAATTTCAAGACGTCACCTCTAATCCCCAATGTTACTTAATTTTCCCAATAATTCAGTATGTGACACAGTATCGAAAGCTTTCTGAAGATCTAAAAATATGGCAATTGTTTTTTTTATTTTTTATCAAGATTATCTAGAATATTCGTCGTCAATAGTTGTAATGGCTGTTCTGTTGCCATTCCTGGCTGAAAACCGAATTGTTTTGACGATAAAATCTGATGTTTTTCCAAGTAAGAACGTAGTCGTTTATTCAGGCACTTTTCGAAAATTTTACCAATATTGTTAATCAAGCTTGGTATAACAACAATCTCCTTGTGAATTCTTTAGGTATGTCAGAATTTAGAAAACACAAATTGATGATGTAGGCAACTAGGCAAGTGGATCGCTAATGTCTCAGATCAACAAAAGACCCTTTGTTGATCTGAGGCTAATGTCTTTACTGCAAAATTTCAACAATCTATAGCTGTTTTCCCATCTTTTCCCGGAGACGTATTAGTTTTTAGACTTGCAATGATGTCTTCTATTTCTTTAGCAATAACTGGTTCTGAGAATAAGGAATTCGCATGATGATTGTTTGTATTCTTGAAGTTATTTTCATTAAACTGATTAGTTGTTGTTATCGAGTTGGTGGTTTGTTTCCCAATTTTGATAAAGAATTTATTAAAGCACTCGGCAATTTCACATTTATCACTAATAAATTGTCCATTATTGTTTACATTCTGAAAAATTTTTAATCTGGTTTTTGTTGATTTCATTACCCAGACAGCACTGGATATTCATAGAATATTCTCTAAATATGCTAAAAAGGAGGAGTATATTCCGAATATTCATCGATTATTCCTAGAATATATACATGCCTCTGGAACATCTAAAAGGAATATTCCAAAGTGATGTTCAGGGAATATTCAGGTATGAATCTTCCAGGAATATTCCCAACTGAATATTCTTTTATGTATATTCTTGAAATATACCCAACTGAATATTCTGTGCGGTATATTCATGAAATATACCCAACTGAATATTCTGTGCGGTATATTCATGAAATATTCTCAACTGAATATTCTGTGGTGTATATTCATGAAATATTCCATGAATATTCCTATGTTTCTCAACACATAAATACCATTTATTATTTCAGAGATGTGAGTATCGAACATCAATTATTAGATATAAGGGAATTTTGAAACAAAAAGTGTTTATGATCCGATTTCGAACAATGCTCTCACAAGAACTTGATTTGTATAACATTATTCAATTCGATTACTGGCCTAGTGGTCAAGGCGTTGCTCTGATAGACTCGAGGTCACGAGTTCGATCCCTACTTGGGTCACTTTTTTTTATTTTAGAATATGTTTATTGGAATATTCCAGGAACATTCAACATAGAATATTCTTTTGGGTATATTCTATGATTATCTGAGGAATTCCCATTCGCATATTTAGAGAATATTCCACAGATATTCCGGAATATTCCAGATTATTTCTAGAATATTCCAATATCCCAAAAGGAATATGATAGGGAGATTCATGGAATATCTGGTGCTGTCTGGGTAGTGGCCTCGCATTAATGATTTTTCAAGTTTTTTTGTATTTGTTCCTTGCTTCTGAAAATGTTTGTTTACAATATTCATTTTTTGTTGTTTTGATCATCAGGTGTGTTAATATAAGTATTTCTATATACCAATAGTTCCAAAATATTCTTGTTTAAGAACAGTATTTTTAGAATCTTTCAGAAATTTTTGTTTCAATTTATCACGTTTTCGTATTGAGGCTAGTTCTATTTTTCATTTTAACTATTGAGGTCGCACTTTTATTTGAGACAATAAGTATTCATTTTACGTAAAAGTAATCCGCTGCTTTATGCACGTCCTGTTCATTATATAATATATATTCCAGTATATTGACTATATTTGATCAGAATATTTTTTGGGAAAAACTATATCACATATCACATGGATTTCTTGTAATTTTGTTAATGAGAGGAATTATCACATTTCACATTGGCAACGCTGCCAGGATGGAGAATATTGCATTATAGATAGTGCGTATGTGCAAACCTAAACGCCTAAACGGTTCAAGTGTTCAAATGATATTCGTTTACTTTGATAGGTACTTTGTCATTAGTCAGTAGATATAGGTATCCATATTAGTATATTGGTAAGTACATAAAATACATGACTTTTTTACTATATTCACTCAAAAATAAGAGTACTAAATAAGGTATGTGTCTATGGAAAGACAGAGACAAGAGATACGATAGCGTAATATATCAATCAACGATATTATTCTATTCACCTACCTAAAGTACGGAATGCTACTATGCTACTGAATACTGAATTAGTGAATTCCTCTTTAACTGAATAGCGGAATACCGGGATACCAGATATAATTATATCATTATACAAAGAAGCATCTAGATTCTAGAGACAGGTCGCATCAAATATTGCGGTAGAGGGGATGTAGCAAGGCTATTTAACTCTATATGAAGGACGAAGCGCCGCCGCGTTTGCTGAGAAGTGCCTCAATCTTCAATCTTTCGAACCATTCCCATCACCTGATATGTTGAGATTCGTGTTTCTTGATGATTATTTTCCGCAATAGAATTGTGGAGGCTGAGTTTGGTCAGGGAGTTTTATTCTGGTTCACTCTAATTCTAATAGCATGGCGTCTGCCCACTGTGATCATTTGTATAGTGATTTAGGCTTTCAAGGATGTTTTTCTCCTTCCTCTCGAGACAGACCCTGAGAGGGTCTCGTCCAATGACCAGTCTGACAATGAGGTTTGGGAATGGTTCGAAAACTATAGGATCTCGTGTTTTCGGCAATGTTTTCGGGCACTGGCGTTTTCGCTGTCGCTGTTGGCGAGTCGCGCAGTGTTGCCAGGTGTGTCGATTTATCACATCAACGGCTACTTCATTTGAAATAAGATATTAAATTGAATTTGGCGACTGGCGACAATTTTGGCAACATTGAGAAATTTTCAGGATATTTATTGGCGACATGTGATATAATTTTTCAAGATTGAAGGAAAAAATCAGTCATTTGCAAACACAGTTATATCACAGATATATCGCAGCGATGTAACAATTGTATCCTGCGATATCGCATTCTATGTCGCATAGACGACACTGCGATGTCAGAGGGATGTTATTTGGCGCACTCAAGTTCTATCCATGCGACGTTCCTGCGATGAGTTCTATGCGATATAACAGCGATATATTTTTTGCAATGTAATTGCGATACCTTATTTGTTAATTTAATTTAATAAGCGATATGATTTTGAGATGAAACTACGATGTGATGCGAGGTGACATCGCAATAAAACAAAAAAACAAAAGTTTCCATTCACCACTGACTTCTGATGAGATATCTTATATTGATCCGATTATGTGCTGTTGTGACTGTTCGGTGGTCCTTCGAGTCTCCTATCCATTCAGTCGTCTTTTCAGCGGCGCTATCCTTAGTACCTGAGATTCTCTATCGGAATGAGATTATACTTACTCGTATTTGTATAAAAATTATGTAGTGTACCTATGTCAGCGAGATGTGGGGTTCACTTTCTTAAGTAACGTATATTCATATATTGTTTTTCACCGAACAAAAATCCAAATGATTTTTTTTTTTT